CCCCCCCCCCCAAAAAAAAATACTAAAAGCTTTGCCAGGAGTCCCTTTGAAATCCTCACTCCACTTCTAAAATTTGGAGTTAACACTCCGTTACAAGTTAATTTTTATTTTTGCCATGATTCTTTGATGCTTTCCAGCTATTACATTTTTTTTTTTTAATCCCATATAGGTAACATGTGAAAATACAATGCAGTATTCTTATGAATCGTAATCTGACAAAATCACCAACACTACAATGCATCTCTGGTCCAGGAGCTCTGATGATCTAAAACGTCTTATTTAAGACTGAGTTATGCATTGACCCTTCTTCTGATTTCTTTGTTGGAGATTTTAAGAGACCCTCATGAATATATTGTGTTTACAGTCCTATATGTGTTTGGGGTTTTGAAATTTTCTGTGCTTGAACTTTGTTTTTTATGTAGTCTGTAAAAATGGATGTGTGAATGATCACTTTTAAAGTGGGGTGTTTTTTTGTTTCTTGTTTTTTATTTACTTTGCCATTACTATTATGGAGCTGCATAAGAAATGGATGACTCAGTTGTGTATTTTTATTTGATGTAGGTTTTCCGCACTGGATTTTTTTATTTATTTTTTTTTTAACAGCTGGGAAATTGAAAAATCCTCTTGGGAAAATCTTGTGTTTATTTTATTAGTCATCATCTCTTATGTTTCTTCAGGTTTAAGACTTTACTAGCTGTAAGGAACTTGAATTAACAGTTCAAACACAGTTAATATTGCATGTAACATCTTAACACAAAAAAAAAAAAAACCAAACAACAAAAACCCAAAATCCAGGAAACCTCAAAAAACAAAATCCACCCCACAATCACAAAAATTTAGGCATGTAATCTTTCAGAATTAATAGGTTTAATTTTAGCTGGATTACATAGAATCATAGAATGGTTTGGGCTAGAAAAGACCTGAAGATCATCTAGTTCTAACCCAGTCGAGCCCAGGGACACCTTCCACTGGACCAGGTTGCTCAAGGCCCCATCCAGCCTGGCCTTGAACACTGCCAGGGATGGAGCAGCCACAACTTCTCTGGGCAACCTGTGCCAGTGCCTCAGCACCCTCACAGTGAAGAATTTCTTCTCTGTATCTAAGATAAATCTCCTCTGTTTAAGTTTGAAGCCATCACCCCTTGTCCTCTCACTACGGTTCCTGATGAACAGTCCCTCTCCAGCATCCTTCTAGGCCTCCAATATCCGAGTTAAATGAATTCATTTACAAATAGTAAATGATATTAACTGGTGCATTCATGTTATCGCTTCCTAGCTTCAGAAAACAATTTGCAGAACAGACGTCTGAAACTTGACTATGAAGAAATCACACCATGCTTAAAAGAGGTAACTTTGATTTGGGAAAAAATGCTGAGTACACCTGGAAGGTCAAAGATTAAATTTGATGTGGAAAAAATACACTCTGCTGTTGGGCAAGGTAAGCACAGTTTGCTATATCGAGTTGTGTAAACGCACTTAAATTTTGTTAGAAAAGGAACAGTGTGACCTCTTTACCACTCCCAATAACCAGATTCTCACTAAAGCTGTTCTTCAGGTTGCTGACTAAACAAGTAACAATGTTGGATATGTGTATGCAAGTAACAGCCCCTTTCAGCAGTAGCTGCAGTTCTGTTACTAGAGTTACTGTACTTGGTATTCAGTTTTGAATTGAATCTGATTTTATAAATTAAAGGTTATCATTAAAGAAGAAAGCCTGGATAATGCCAAAGAAATGACTGTGTAAATAACTGAAGAAACTGCCCTACTATCTGGAAATTCTCTGTTCCAGCCTGGGTAGTATGCATGTATACAAACAGTATACATGGATATCTCTGTAGAACTGCCTTTTTTTCCCCCCAAGTTCAGCAACACATTGTACCTGCAAACACAACTAATAGTCTTCCTCACAACTGTAGGGCTGAGCAACCAGCCTCTTTCCACTGCATCAAAAGTAATGTAACCTAAGGATGTTTTTAAATATTCTAAGAAATTAGAACATATGATTAATAACATTATTACTCAATGTTTTTTATGCCATGGTTGGATCCAAAGGCCTTAAGCTGAATGCTGTATGTAGCCAATGGGGAAGGTGGCTACTCCAAGGAGTTTTTTATAGTTCTAAACAAAGCTTTCCAACATGCAAACGAAGTGTCAAGAATTCGCCACTAGGAGAAGTTTAATATTTTAAATATTGCAGCTACCTATATGCAGTTATTCATCAGGTGAAATCAAATTGTCCATTCAAGGTAACTAGTACATCTAGATTTCCAACAATATCAAATGCCTTAGGCACAAACCTCTGCAGAGTGAGGGAAACTCAGAGGTTTCTTTCATTCATGTAGGTAAAGGTCAATGACTGGTCTGCGCAGTCAGTGTGTGAGCATAAGAAAAACTTGGTTTCTGTTGAAAGTCCAGTGATGCTGGCCTATGTTACAGTTCAAGATAAAACTTAAAAAACTCAGAATGATGTAAAATAAATAAATAAAGCACTGCATAGTGGATCTCTAATAAGATGCACATACAAGTAGCCAGTAGATTATTCCTAGTTCTTACATAGCTGTTACCATGCTCTGCTCTCTAAAGCCCAGTTATGTCAGAGTTCTTAGAGTGATATCAAATTTCATACATACGCAGAAATGAAAAATGTATTTAAATGGAGTTTAGGAAGTTCTTGTTTAGACCAAAACCATTAAAATTAACTTTGTTAAGCAAGACAAACAGGTAAGAAATGCAGGTTTCAGTAAGCATGGTGCTTAAATTAGGATAACACATACAGAAAGAAATTCAATCTTTAAAACATTTTTACATGTACAAGTCATTCAACAAACCAGTAGCACAACTGCAAGTATAATACTTGCTTTCTGATTATCTGTGTTCTGTTGCAGTCTAGATCACATCTCATTTGTACTTGTTTATACTTTTGTTATGTGTGCATCCTCCCTTCCTAAAACTTACTCCTAACAACACTGTCAGTGCTGTACTAGTGAAAAAATTAATTAGTTCTGTTATAGTGCTTTATTGTGTACTTTACATGGAAAAATGGGAGATAAGCATATAACTTTTCTGAGACAAGCATTGCAATTTTTGCTGCTTCTTCTAGTACTTCTCAGACTGGATGTAAGGGTAACATTAGACTTAGGCAGCTCACCCTGTTTCTACCTTTAATCTCTCCTGTTAAAATGATGTGTTACTGGTTGAGGAAGTATAAGCACTGTAGTTTGATCTGCTTCTGTGGTCTAGTGGAGATAGCAGATACGAACCTAGCAGATAGGGATCTGCTTGCATATCTAGCAGATAGGGATCTTCAGTTCCTCAATCCTGTTAGCTCAACTATAGCTGAACCCTCAGTAGAAGTGCAAATTACTGTTTTAATGACTTTCTTCTCTCAGGAGTACCTCGTCACCACCGTGGGGAGATCTGGAAGTTTCTAGCAGAGCAATACCATCTTAAACACCAGTTTCCCAGTAAACAACAACCAAAGGACACACCTTATAAAGAACTCCTAAAACAACTAACTTCCCAACAACATGCAATACTTATTGATTTAGGTAAGTACAGTAGTGGTTTGAAATTAAAATAAGGGGTTTACAATCTCTGGAAAATAATTAAAAGAAAGTAACACACAAAAAGCCTCTCATGGTTTAGTAATAGGTTGTTGGTAAGAACTGCTTTTCATCTGGTGTGAGAACCATTACTTGACACTGTTAGGAAAATGCAAAATCTGCATTTCAAACACAGAGGTCCTTTGCAACATGTGGTAAGAAAAGGTTGCTAGGTGTAACTGTAATGCATCTGTGTTTCAGATACTGACAGTGAAGTCCACAGGCCCATGGAATACAAACTGTCAAGGAAGTCAATATTTAAGTGCAATCTGTTGAATTATATGCTGTTCATTCCAGTGTTTGCTGCCTCTGTTCAACACTTCTACTTGAAACAATGCAGAAGTTTTGCTTTTTGCTCTTTTTGCTTTTTTCAATGGGTAGATACTAGCAGTTGGTATTTCTACTTGTATTAAAAAAATTATGAAAGAAGATATTTTTAATAATAATTTTTCATAAAAAGGCTCTTTTAAAGGCAAGTTATTCACATTGCCAAATTTTAAGCAGTAGCTGGCTCCTGATTTATGAGAATGAATTGGTCTGTTGAAGCACATATACTGTAGTTCATGGAGTTTGGTAGAGTTTAGGAATCAAGGCTCTTAAATCTGAAATGACTGGCAGATGGGCTTCAGGCAGGCTTTTAGTCTTCTTGAGTAGTATTCCATTTTCCCTCACATTTATTGGTCAAAGCTCAAAATGTTTTTTCTAGTATTAGAGGGAAACATGAGAAAGAAAATCTAAATGAAATTAAATGATTGTTTTAGGGTGGGAGCAGAAGAGTTTATTTCAGATAATTGTAAAAGACCAATCTTCATATACCTCAAAATATTCTGCCATTCTTGCCCCTTCCTGGTCCTCTTCCTTCATCACTTTTAGTTCCCTTGTATGAGATTGTCTTTTATTGATTAACTCTTGCCACTGCTAGACTAAGATGATAATAAAACCCAGGAACATTTAGTAATACCAGAAGTCAGTACCCTCTGTAAGATATTGATCATCATTACTGTCACTGGTTGCTGCTGCTCCCACATGGTTTTGTTAAGGTCTGTATCAGTACCGGCAACCTCCCTGTCTCAGAAGCTCCCACAAGACAGCCATTTGTTTTGTAGACCTCACAGAGATACTTTTTGGCATCCTCTCTGTCTTCCTTCATGAAGATGCTTCCCTTTTCTCCCCCAAGCAGCACATGGCTGCTCCTCAGCTTGGAATCTGTTGCAGTCATTAAAGTATTTCTAACATGACAGTAATTATTCAAATATATGTGATTGTTGAATCAGATGTTCACATGTCTAACCTTTACCCTGGCAAAAGCATTTCTGTTTGAATGCAAGCTATCTGATGCAAGTTTATAACACCTCACTGCTATATGGCTGAATTGAAAGTTTTTACAGATAATCTACAGATTTTCCTCATGATTATGTAGTTGTGGATATTTTTAAAGATATTGTTTTCTCCTCGGGTATTTTAATTTGGTTTATTGTCTGAGAAACCAGGAGCTGATGTTTTTCCAAGAGGATCTCAGCTTTTGTATTTGTGATAATCCCACAGTGTTCTGTTCATTATGCTCTTTCCTAATAAAGGAGAAAAATTCATAATGTCTTCCAGAGAATGGTAGAACTTACAGGAGGCTTTTGTTGTGGGATTTGTGGTTTGGGTCTGAGGAGTTGTGTGGGACAATTTAAGAGGTTCCCTAATCACTTAAGTTTGATTAAAGGGGGAAGCTATGTACTGCATAAAAGCAAATGTCATGTGATAGAATGATAAAAAAATATGGGAAAATCTGTGCTTGGTTTGACCTCAGTGATTAATACCTCTTGTATTATTTTTGCTTACATCTTTTCTGTGAAGAAGTAGTACGGAGCAGTCCCATCATACTTCTGCTCTTTATAATTACTCATCTAGTATGTGAGTATTTTTCATTGCAAATAGGAGGCTATATCCTCTTTCTTCCACATGGTAGAATTGTCTGATGAGGGAGGGATCACCTATATCCAGAACTGCCCGGGGCACCTATTTCTTAAGAACCCAGTGTGCAGACCATCTTCTGCAGGTACTGAACTGTGAGAAGATTTGTCAGGTTTAGATAGTGACCGAAGCTCTATATGGTAAATGAGAATATTTTCTCCTTTTTTTGCAACACTTGGTAAAGTGAGTCAAAATATCAAGGTAGTGCATACAAACCAATCTGGTGGAATAGGCATGTTTCTGCAGAAGGTGGCATGAGCTGTGGTGAGGAGGGTGGTGGTTGATGCCACCTTCACTTTCCCATATTTGACAGGCCTGCTAGGTTTGGCACTAGGAAGGTAATACTTCAAGGAATCTTGATGCTAGCTAAGAATAGGCAGCTGCAATGTAAGTAAATTGTTGCACTCCAGACTTTGTCACACCAATTCTAGGAATTCCCCAGATCACACAGCACCAGAAGCAGTCTTCGGTTTTTGAGAGAGACATTTATGTGCAGCCAGAGGTCATTCTTTAGCAAGTACCTGTTGGTCAAGTCAGCATACCTGGTGTTGATACCCCTGGCAAGGAACGTTGGGATTCTGTCACTCTGGAGTGCCTCAGTAAGGGGTGAACACTTTTGTGTTGTTGGGTTGGTGAATTGAACAACTTCAGCAGAGGGGAGAGGTGTGGGACAGCTCCTGGACAGGAGGGAGCACAGTCAGTCTGAGTTTGGTTGGCTTACACAGCAGACTAGGGCTTGCTGGCTTAGCAAGCTGTTCATATTTTCTGCCTTGTTCTGCACACAAATACTTTCTCATTTTAGCCATGTGCTCTGCTTGTAGAAACAAATGACTGCATGTGTTGGCAAATTGTTAACTTCATAGTGGTTTTCATGCAAAGTGGTTTTTTTTGCTAGGGAGCTATTTGCTAGCCCATTAGCTGAGGGCAGTATTGGGCCCTATTGTTTTAGTAAGATGAGACTAGGAAGCTGAAGGCTTCCTAGTTTCCTAGTGATTCACATTGAAATACAGTACTGCTGCACCGTAACAGAGCATAACTGGATAGGCAGCTTGAAGGAATTTGCATGTTCTGACTTGTGTTCCTTCAGGCTATCAGAAGTGTTTTCCCTTAAATCATTAAGAAGCCTTCTGAAAGCATGCACTTCTACCTTGAGAGAAAATCCTATGTTCTTGCAACATGTGGTTATAATATTTAAAAAAGCTTTCCTAAATTAAGCTAAAGAGGTCTAGCTAATGCAGTAGGAACGAAAGCTGTAGTGATACCTTTCACTTAGTTGAATCAATGCATCTTCAGGTGTAAATAGTGCTTGCTGGGAATGAGAACAACAGTGTGCATCTGGATGCGGAGGTAAGGTACAAATGCCACTTTCAAGGCCCATTTTACATGTGACATTGTTATTTCATTACCTGGACAAGAACAAAGTCACAATTCCCTGAAGGCTTTTTTGTGTATTTCCTTAGTGACCCACCTTCACAACCACTGCAGTCACTGGGAATTTCAGGTCCTGAACACCAAAGTTACATTCAGTAAATGATTTCATCTCTCAGTAAGGTAAACTGACTTCCAGATGCTGTTGGTGTATGAAACTCATCACTGAGTGTTTGCAGAACACTGAAAATTACGGTGGTTTTTATTACGTTTCAAAAATAAAGTCGCTACTTTCTCATTCTGGCACCCTTGAGGTATCACAGTTCATTTAGAGCCTTTAGAGTTGTTTGCTCCTAAGTGAAAGCTAAAAATCTTAAGTCATCACCAGGGCACTCGGAAACAAAACAGCTTCTGAATTTATCAGTTCTGCTTCTCCTTGATTTGCTGTCTTTTAGAACTTCTTTGCATTTTTATTTTTGCTCAGCTTGTAATTTTTCTTCATGACTTACATGGAGGGAGCCTTGCTGTGAGTGAAGCGGTACAGGCCTGCCATCAGACCATGCTGTAGTAACTTGTCATTCAGGCAGAAGGTTCCTTTGCAAAGGAACACAAGCTCCTTCTCATTTGGAAGCTAGAAATATGTCTTCTGTAACGTTCAGCTCTTGTGACGGCCTGGCCAGGGGAGACCTGCTTAGGAACTGAATGTCAGTGGCCCATGTGGCAGGCTAGAGCAGCTACCAGATGGCAGAAGGACTCTGCCCCAGGCTTTGTCTTCCTGTAACAGGATCTCTGATATTATCTAGCAGCACAACAGCATTCATGCAGCTAAAGGGTGGGGTGGCATTTAGCGAGTCTGCAACTGAAAATCAAGCTTCAGTTAATACTAGAACAAAAGAAGTATTCAAATTTCTCCTCTGCTGAGGTATTTCAAAGGGAAGATCTGATGGGGGAACTACCCCCCCCC